GTGCGTGTGTGCGTGTGTGCGTGTGTGCGTGTGTGCGTGTGTGCGTGTGTGCGTGTGTGCGTGTGTGCGTGTGTGCGTGTGTGCGTGTGTGCGTGTGTGCATGTGTGCGTGTGTGCGTGTGTGCGTGTGTGCGTGTGTGCGTGTGTGCGTGTGTGCGTGTGTGCGTGTGTGCGTGTGTGTGTGTGCGTGTGTGTGTGTGTGTGTGTGTGCGTGTGTGCGTGTGTGTGTGTGTGTGTGTGTGTGTGGGTGTGTGTGTATGTGCGTGTGTGTGTGTGTGTGTGTGTGTGTGTGTGCGCGCGCGTGTGTGCGTGTGTGCGTGTGTGTCTGTGTAGGTGTGAGGGTAAATCCTTATCTGGGGAGATTTGCCGTTTCACAGGCGGATTTAGGAGGGGTGGAAACCCTAGCTTCTCCCCACAAGGATTCGATCCACTGACCATCCAAATGGATCCAAACATTTGGTAAAGTTTTGAACCATTTTTGCCAGAATCTTTCAAAAACTGTTCAAAACGGGACTTTTGGCCTCTTTTTTCTTAAATAGCGAGAATTGATTTTTTTGGCTGAATTAGGTTTCTACAGTGTTTTGAGTTCGGTAAATCAATTTGGTCGACCTAAAAAGGTTGACAATTTTCTGAAATTTTCTGTAAAATTCTTAATACAAAAATACTCTGCATCCACCTCAGAATTCAGATGTATTTTCTAATGATCAATTTAACGAATATTTGAGAAGAAAAGTTAAAACAACACTATACTAAAACATCACTCTTTTTCTTTTAGGTTAAAGTTTTTTCTCCCTCAATTCAAAATGAGAAACTTATGAGAAACAACTCAAATGGTTTCTCATATAACTCAACCATATTCCACTGTAATTTTTTTTCAATGATTTTGGGTGCTCGAACACGTTGAAAGTTGAAATGCTGACAGGTTCAAATCTTAAGAATTGTAAATGCTTCAATAAATTTTCTGTAGTTAATTAGATTAATATAATTAGTTTGATTCATTGTATTTCACGAAGTTGAACACCTGGACTAACAGTTTTTGTATTGGATAGTTAACTCGTTTTACTAATTTTCATGACCATTAGACCGCGTGAACAAAAGTAACGGATCTTGTTAACAACCCCCCCCCCCCTCCTGTTTGGGGGGGGGGGAGATTCGTTCCAAGGTATCAAATTCGTATATGCTTAGCTGTTCAATTCTTTTTTATAGGGGGAGGGGAGATTCGTTACAAGGTACCATAGGGGGGAATAGTTAACAAGATCCAAAGTAACTTAATAATATAAAAATCACAAGTGTTGTGGGTGGGGGGGGGGAGAGGGAGAGAGTGAGGGTGTTAGAAGAACTTTCTTTTCCAATTGACTAACCCTGCATCCCTATTTCGTCCCCGTATAGCATGACAGGAGAGCCAGGCAACAGATAAGACAAGGCCACCAGCTGCATGCTTAGAGGCGACTGTAACCTAGAATGTACTCTGGCCACATTCCGACTGAGGTCTGTCGTCTCCCACAGAATCACCCTGCTCGACCCCGACTGCACCTGTGACGTCAGCTCAATTGCACCGTGGTATTTCTCAAACTGTGAAAACAGATGAGTTTGGAATGCTTGATCATTTTTTTCTACAAAAAATTACGAGGATAGCCGGTTATTGTGCAAGTAGCACAGAGTGTTCCGACCATTTTCTTAAAAAAACTGCAAAATGACAACAGTTTTCCACAAGCAGTGGATTTAGGGAACGAGGATGGGGGACCGGACGCCCTTTCCCCTCAGGGATTCGACCCTATGCCGACCCAAAGGGTCCCCCGTTTTGTACTATTTTGAGATATACATTTTGGCTGACTGACCCTACAATTTTTCTAAAGGCGCTTTTGGCGCCAAAATATACTAAATTGAGGGGGAAGCGCGCGCCGAAAACCGACTGCAATTTTTTGCTCAAAAATTTCCATAGAACCGCTTTTTTTGGCCGGTTTTTTCAAACAAAAGGAAAACAAAACATTCAAACCAATTTTTCTCAACAATAGGATAAAAAAATTATGAACTTTTTATTATACCGGAAATTTACTGGTCTAAAAATTGATCAAAAATCAAATGTTTGACTTTTCTTAAACCCATAAGTTTATCTCTTCTGAAACATGGGAATAACTTCTGATGCAGAGAAGATTTGCACGCCTTGATTTATATATTGAATAATATCCGATTTAGCTAGTAGTTTTCGAGAATAGTGATAAAAATTCTAAAAAAAACTGTAAAAAATTTCAAAAGTTGATTTTACCGAAGACCTATCGGCCTTTCTACAAAAAAGGAGAAACAGGTTACGAACACAAAATCTAAGTACCATTTTATTTGAATCAGTTATCAACCGGAGAATCAGCAGGTTAGTTTTTGAAGAAAAAAAAAGGTTTCCAAAAAAAAACAAACAAATTTTCAAAAATTCGACATTCCTTCAGGTCATATTTTTATTTTTTTCAAAATTCAGGGCAAAGCCTCTTGCTCAGGAAAAGTTTTCACAACTTTTTTTCGATAAAACCCTTCATCTCCGATTTGGCAGAGAAGTTTTTGAGAAAAGTTCTAAAAATTTATCAAAATTTCAAAAAATGGGCTTGTTTGAGGCAATAATTTTTTTCTACCAAATTCAGGGAAAAACCACTTGGGAAGAGGAGATCTCCATGATTTTTCTATTGAAACTTTCATCCTAAATTTGTGCATTTGCTATTTGAAAAAATGAAAAAATTCAAAACAAATAGGTCAAAAATCCTCATACTGAATTTTTCGACCCTACAATATGACTAAAATGAAAAGAAACTAAATAAACAAGTAAGCACATAGAAGAGTAGCCAGTTTTTCCATTGTTACCATTTTTTTGAACATCATTACAGTAGTTTTCGAGAAAAAATGAAATTTTTGCGAGAAGAGCAAAAATTTTCCAAAGCGTCGCAAATAACAACAAAAAACAACAAATCCCATACAATCTCTTAATATCTGTTTTTTTACAGGGTCTAACACTACCCCAAAAATAAAGCAACAACCTTTGCTATTAAATTGTTTCTGCTTAATTAGGCTTAAATATGATTAAATTGAAATTACCAAAAGTGCCACCGAATGAGAACTTTCATTTGCGACTTAGGTTAGAAAAAAAAGCTTCGTAATAAAACACTACGCTTCCCAAGTGCAATTAATGATTTTAAAATATTGCCGGGCTTGTTTCCTTTTCTCATTGTCCATTTCTTACAAAAAAGTGCGAGCAAACTAATTAGGCCAAGACAAACATATTTGATAACCATACTTTACCTTGTAAAACGATTCGCTTACACTCTAACAAGGAGGTAAAACAAGATCTCCTTAACTGTTTCCGCCATATTTTATACATTGATTATCTACATATTATATACAGGTTATATACGTGTTTTATACACTTTAAAATCGATTATTTTGGCAATAAAAATCCATTTATTTTTGGTGAAAAAAAAGATTCTATCTGCATATAATCGATTATCGTTCGTAAAACGGTTGTTGATAATTCGATTTTATACCTACAGTAATCTGTATATTTTTCTGTATATATACAATTTTTATCCATTTTTGTCTTTGGGGGAGGAACTATTTTTCAACCAACCAAAAGATTCTCGCGGTGCTCTAACCTGAGGATAAATGCTTGCAAATGGCGACAGTATTACGTAATCAGCCGCCTGATGAGTTTGATTGACATACAATTCCAGGTACTTCTTTGAGGCCGCTTTTGACTTGAAATTCATGTGGTCGAGTCTTAGAATTATAGAGCCTCCGAAGGGTTCCAAGAACAGTCTAAGGTCCTGGAGGAACTGTATCGTCGGCGGGGTGTCACGACTGTAAAAGTGAGGCACTCTACAGTAGCTGTACCGTCCGTTGCACGGCAAGTAATCGTCGGGTTCTGTGAAGCCGTTTTGGATCTCGTTTTGGTCCAAACTAGTCTCGATTAAATACTCGGCGTCATTCAGTAAGAACTGGGATATCCCGATATTGGTCCAATATTTGAGAACCTGTCTTAAATTCTCCCTAATTGTGGGGTTTGTGTAGTTTAACTCGGCAGTATATGGTCCGTTTTGAGAATAATAACAGAGGTCGGGTTTAATTGTGCTATCTGGAATAAATAAATTGCGTATTTTAAAAGAGGGAGCCATTCTTGGATTATTACAGGGCGGGAAAACTGCTTTGGGTCCAAAATGAAACAGTAAATCAGTTTTAATTTGTACCAAAACTGATTATCGCTGCGTTCAAATTTTTCATTCTGATTAGCCCAATAAATTTGACTGAGAATTAAATTAACCTTTACCCGAAATGAGGCGCGGTTCTCGGATTTTCTCGAGGGGGGGGGGCGGATTAGGTCGACCAAATTGATTTTCTGAGCTCTCCCAAATCACTACAAAGACCCCATTTCGACCAAATTTTCTGCACCGCCGGCAAACTTTTCAAAAAAAAGGCCTAGAAAGGCGTTTTTAGGCAATTTTTGAAAAATATTGACCAAAAAATCACGTTTTTTTGGCGCGCGCTCCACCCTCAAAATTAGTATATATTGGCGCCAAAGGCGCCTTTAGAAAAATTTTAGGGTCGGTCAGCCAAAAACGGATATCTCAAAACAGTACAAAGGAGAGACCCTTTGGGTCGGCAGGGGGTCGATTTCCTAAAAGTAAAAGCGCCCCCCCCCCTAAATCCGCTACTGCCTGAAATGAATTTAGGGGGCTTGATAGTAACTTGATCCATAGACCCAATCGATAAAACTCTCGAATCAGATTTTTCACGTTTAGTAGCGTTTTTCTTCAACATAAAAAGCAAGATTTTTGCACTCAATGGAGGCAGGCAATTTAGACACCTATTTGAAGACGCCACTCGATAGGCAGCTAGCTGGACTTTTTTGATGTTACTTCTAGATGGATTTTTTTTGGATATTTTTGTAAATAATAAGCAAATTGATCCCTTCTCGAAAACATTTTTCGTGTTATTTATTTCTACGTTTACCTGAATTAACTACTGTGCCTGTTGCCATTAGAGGGTGCCACACAGATCTTCCTGCTGCGTTGACCCAGTTATTGGGATACTTGAATGGTCCCCCCTTCCCCACCTCGCATTCACTCCATACAAAGTAGTCCACATAGCCTGAACCCCCCTCTCTCCCTTGAGACAGAATGTGATTGGATGCCTGCTGGAACCACGAGTGTCGGGTACTCACCTGTTACAATGACAGAAACAAACAATCAGCTACTGTTTTAATCATTATCGATTTTTCCCAAAACAGAACAGAAACCTACTGGTCGAAGTCTAAATGGGTTCTCCAACGTCTTACTGCTTGATGTGTAAAGTCACTATGAAATCAGACTAGAAAACTAAAAAACTGAAGAAAAAATGCTGATTTTCTATTATCAGCAATTGTTTAAAAGGCTGAAAAACTGCAAAAAAGGCCATAGGTAACTAACCGACTTTTTTGGTGTTTCTTCAGGACTGGATCGTTTATAGAGTTAACTAAGCTATTTGCATTTTTGTCTTCTTGAAAGCAAACTCAATAGAAGTTGTTCATTTTCTGAAGAGTACCTGATTGGGATTGAATGCGATGGCCACTTTGATGTGATGTGAGTGTGCCTGTTTGATTAGTTCCATCAGATGGAGAAGGGAGCCGAGGGAGGGGGGAGAGAGGGAGAGGGAGTAGAAGTCGGTCACTTCATTGCCCCACTCGTCTCCACTTTGTAACAGAGGGTACAGCAACACTGTCTTCACCTCCAAACACCATTTTAGAAAATTAACCTCTACACTTTTTGACAATTTGAAATTTAAAAAAATTTCATTAAAAAAAATCAATTTTTTTTTAAATCAAAAAATGCAAAAAAAACTACTGAACAAAAGCGCTCAGTTAACTCGAGTTATGTAACGCTAATAAAAGTTTGATGTAATTTTGATCAATTCATTTTTTCCCCTAGCTAGTTATATGATCGGGCCGAGTAACAAAATTTAACAGGAGTGGAGTATAAAACAATTTTAAAAAATTGAGTTTTTTTTTCAATTAAAGCAAGCTAATCATTAGTTTTTAATTTATTAAGAAAATCTGTCTGTAATCGGGAAGGAGGTAAGTATTTGTAGCTTTTTAGAGTATGAAACAAATAGCAATTCTCACTTTCGTAAGTGGAACTCACTTTCATGAACTTGAAATAGGCCATAAACTGAGTCACACCGATAAGGTCCCCATGTCCGTCACCATCACTGTCGTGGAAGTACCTCGGATCCACCCGGTAGACGATGCCGGGGTTTGAAAAGATCTCGTCACTCGGACCCACGTCTTCGGGTTCTGTTTGTTTATCGGCACCAGCTAAGCTCGGATCTTCTGGTGTTCCGTATTCGTAATAATCTGAGTAGTCGTTATAATCGTAGTCTGAAGGTTCCGAGTTGTCGGCGCTTCCGTATTCAGAACCCGATGTGGAGCCATGAACATTATCTTTACTATTGTTTAATAATGTAAACGTCAGGGTAATTGACAGTGAAATTATAACCACAAACAGAAGAATAATAAAAGCTACTGTAAGATATACACGCAACGGGCATCTTTTAGAACAGCATCGCATATGGTTTAGTTTTGATTCTTTGAAACCCACGTCTGATTCCTGAATGTGGAATTGCTGAAGTTTCAATTCCTGTTTATCTTTTGAAATATCTTTAGTTTCGTCCATTGTCAACTTAATTGACTGACAGTCCGAGTCTCCAGAGGAACTGAAGTTGTCTTTTTGGATCCCGGTCATACCTGCGGACACACATTGGGATATAAATGAATTTACCAATAGGCATAAATTAATTATAAGTTAGTTTCACTGCATGCTCGGAGTTTTATGCTGAAAGTTAATAGTCATATTTAGCTTAAAATACATTTAGAAAACGGAAAGAAATTAGAAACTATCGTTTTTTTAGGAGCAAACCATCTACTTAAGGAAAGCACAATGTACTGAAGAATCTTGTTCCAAAGAATCTTGTTGGAAACTTGTTGGAAACTCTAAGAGTCAACAAAAAATAAGAAAAAAAAACAACTCTGATTACTTAAATTATTTAAGAACGAGTAATGTTTACTGAACTGTAGGCTAACTGACAAGCTTAACGATCAGATCTGTGTTTTGAATATTGGACTGATTTTGGGTATTGATAGAACCATAGGAGTCCCAGGAGCTTATTAAAAGTTCAGAGGCTCCAGTCAACATACATTTGAATTGACTATATTGATTGTCGGGCATAAACTTGGCTTTAGTTTAGGGTCAGACTAGACCATAACTCTGAAGAAATAATACTGAGACCTTGCTTTAGGCCATATTCATGGCGTCTAGTATTGAATATTGTATGTTCAAGGGGTAGGGTCATAACAATAATACGATGGCATCAAAGTTGTTTTGTTTTATGTAACACCTTGTTAAAAACAAACCGAATCTGGAAATAATTTAATTAACCATGATCAAGGTGCTGAACTGCAATAAAAGTCTGCAGTAAAAAATTTGAAAGAAATCTTGAAAATATCTTTGGCCTGAAATTATGGCCCGAATCGATCATCAGTTTTTCTTCAAATCCTAAATATAGAAACAACTTGTTTATTCAATTTTAGTTGACGGCCATTTTGATATGCTGACGTAATTTATAGCCTGGGCACATATTTGGTTTTGCTGCTCAATTGGAGCAAATAGAAACTAATCAGTTTTGACAGGGTCGATAAACTACAGGGTTTGAAACAGGGTTAGTCTATCTGTGAAATTTATATAATTCACGTGTCCTCAAAACAGACTGTACTTGTTTGAGAGAATAACAGTTTTTCCTTGGTATGTTCTGATAATATCTTTGATTGAGGAGGGATTTGAAGGACATTAAACCAATAAACTCCAGAGTATATAACTATTGTCAGTTGGAGCTGCAATGAAAACAAACCCGATCGGAATGGAAATGGGAGTTAGCGGGCAGGGGGTGTCACAATTGACATTATCATGTAACCTTATTAGATTAGGGATAGATGGTGAGGGGGAGAGGTAATGAAAGCCCTTGTGTTACGATCTGCAGCTTGAGGCCCACCATGATCCGCGATTTTTGCCTGCGGGAATACGTAGCAATTCCAAATCCCAGATAAATATCCAAACTCTAATCCACAATAAGGCGAGCAAAAGCGGCTCGGTGTTAAAATCTCAGCTCTCGTATCTGGATCTTTTCTGAGTATCTTGATCGTTTGATGAGTAATCTCAATTAATTAATCCTTGAAAAATGAGTCATTTGAATTTCTGGCTTTTCAAAATAAGGGAGAATCTGAAAATCTGAGAAATCAATGATTTTTTGACTAAAGGGACGACTTAACTTTGAAATTTTTGGAACATTGAAAAGGTGAGACTTAAAGTCAAGAGATCGTTCTCCTTGTTCTAGCACAATGCTTCAAAACAATGAATATACGGCGCTCAGATCTAGCGATTAGCAAGAGTGCCTATTAACAAGCAATAATTGTATGCGTCTGTGTCGTATCGTCTTATTTTTTTAGCATTGTGCTAAAACAAGATCATCTATTTCATGAGTTTAAAAATGTCATCTTATCAAAGATCTCGAAGAGAGGTACTTTGATTGATGATAAAGCTTTCAATTTCAGAGCGTCAGATCGAGTGTTTGGTCTTCCGCCAAGGCAATGATTATGTGTGTGGACGAGCTCTCACTTACCATCTACATTCAACTTGTAAAATCTTGCAAGATAACCTTCCTTGATTGATTCGGGTAACTTGCTATGTTCTGATTGTATCTTTGATTGAGGAGGGATTTGAAAGATGTTTAAATCAATAAACTCCAAATAATATTTTTTGCCAGCTGGACTGCAATGAAAATACCTCTGAATTTTTTGAAACACCTTTTGAACACCTCTGAAACTAGAAACGAATTTTAGTTCTGCTAGTTCCTTCGACAAAATTTCATCTAGCATGAGTCAAAATTTCAAACCTATATTTTTTAGTGGCAGAGAAAACGACAGCAACATGACAAAAAGATAAAAAAATCAGTTCAATTGCTATATGAAATCAAAGTTTGCAAATTCAAGTTCATCTGACTGTAGTTTCAGTTCTACCTCAGCCTGAACAATAATGACTGCAATAATGTTACCACGCAAAACATTTAGATGCAAAAAAACGACCTCGAGTGGCAAAAAAGAGCTTTGCTCAACAATTTAACTTTTTTAGTAAATGTTACAAAATAGACTATCTGTAGAGATGCCTTTTAAGGCCTACTGATAACTCTTCTGCAATTCAAAGGAATCACCATTATAACAGTATCATAATTAAGTGTTTTTAGACAAAAAATTTAGTCTAAGGTTTGAGTCAATTGTAAGAGTCATTAATTTGATTTGCGAACTGAAACAAAATTTCGTTTTCGACCCAATAAGTAATCCAAATTTGCTTAAGAAAAGCGTTGATAAGTAGCGTTCTAAATAAAACAATTCTGCTCTATCAGGGCAAAACGCCGAATAAGCCAATTGTTACTTCCAAACTATTCTGGATCAATTATAGAAGAGTAAAATACGTTAACTTTTTTCAAACAAAATAAAAATAATTAAAAAAATTGTAAACCTTGAATTTTTGAGTGTTCAGTCTTCCCCTGCAGCCAATGTCAAAAAATTAGTATCATAAAATGTATTTTGTATGAATTAACACGATTGATTAGCTTCCATCAAGTCAATAGGGAACCTTCTTCAGAACGGGTTAAACCCGCACGTTTTTTTAATTTCTTGCTTACGCTTTCGATTAATTTTAAAATGACTATGGCGGCAGTACTCAAACCATCCGAGAAGAAAAGTTTTCTGTAAATTGGAATTTCGTTATCCGTAATTTCTTCATTTTCAACGCCGAATTTGGTCAGAGCAAAAAAATTACTTAAAAATTATACTCGATTTGATCATCCTTCACAAAGAAATATCCCATAATGTAACTTCTTATTAAAAGTAAGAAATGCTTTCTTTATCAAAAAGTTTTTACAGTTTTGTTTCAGTAATTTTTCACGATAAAAGTTTCCACACAAAAAACCATTAAAATCAGAAAAACATCAAGACATCGTAAATTTTTTAATGTAGTGTTACCTTGTAATTAGGTAGAAAATGGGTGATTGTTTTTTTTCAATTATGTGATTTTAATAATTTTTGGATTGCTTTCAATTTTATCATAAATTCATTTTGAAAAAAAAAAACCGGAAAACATTTTTTTTCAATTCGATTTTTAATTATCCATTTTAAGCGGTTGATAATGATTCTGAGTCCAGTTTTACAAAAAAAAATTTCAAGCCCTGTAGTTGTTGTTTATTGGGCTAAAGAATATTTGACAAAATTCTGATCTGGTTAGCAACTGACAAGTAATATAAAAAAGTAAAAGAAAAAATTTAAGAAAGTAATTTGAGAAAGATGTACTTGATTCGGCTGCCTCAATGGCTAAAAAACTTAAATTTGAAAATTTGAAAATTTTTCACTCTAAAACCTTATGTCATGTTAAATCGAAAGAAAAATTGGTTGTAAAATTTTTTGAACATTTCTAGAAGGAAAAAATACTGTCATACAACGCTCTTATAAGATCAGTTCTCATCTTAAAGTTTCCATGTAAAAGAAGCTTTTTTCAGCTAACAGTTTCCACAAATATTTTTAGCACTTGTAGGATTTTTATGACAAAAAAGTACATTGAAATTGTTTTAACCCGAAAACAAGAACTCAAATTATTAAAAAGTCCAAATAGTTGTAAAACATCCTGTCAAAAATGGCTGATCAAATTTTAAATGACAACCCTCACTCTTAAGGTAAAACTGAATAGTTGTGCTTCTTATTTGTCCTATATATGTGAAGGAACGATGACCAAAGTTAAACATGTCGCGCTCTACAGTTTTCAAATTGAACAAACGAAAATGTTGTTTGAACCTACGTAGAACTTTGAAAAAACTTTTTCGCTAAATCGAAAGCATTCGTGCCCGACCAAAAGTAGCTTATCTTTAAGTAGTTTTTAATATCTTTATATATCTTTTTAGATTTGAGCCAAGGGTATCAATAACTTTCAGGTGGTATAAAAAGTGGAAATTGTTAATAAAACAATTGTCGGCATTGCGTGTGGGGCTGGTTTTTCCAAAAAAAAAAATTCTTTTTTGGCAACCATTTTTTCTATTACCTGGCACCAACAGTATTTTCCTTTTTGGCTGAATACTTTATATGACTCATTTAAAGGCATCAAAATTGTGGAGTGTCAATATTTACAAATTTCTCCTTTGCACGCGTTTTTGTCATTTTGAAATCATGACATCCAGAAGTCGCACGCCGATTTAAATTGATTCTAAGATTAAACCTAAAAACATTTACATTTTAAAAATTATTTTAAGAGCTCGCAAAAAAAATAATTGTGGCTTCGGCTCTATAGATGAAACGGTAATGCTATAATTCAAAGATGGTCCTGAAACGCTTCCATTATCAGTTTTTGATCTGTTGTCTCTTTGAAATAGTGACTTACTTGTTAATTTGCTCATAATGATGAAGTTGGATGAATTCGGTAAGGCCAATATTTGCTTAATACTGATAGTAGTATCAAAACATACCATCAATTAATTCTGTTTGTTTGATGCGGCGAATGACATGTCTAGACGAGATGAATTTCGCATGTAATGTATCCTTATACTTAGAAGTTCGGACGCTAACTTAATGCTATATATAGTAAAATAGACTTTATTACAGAAAATCACGTTCCGCACTGCCAAAACTGAGATCATTTTTAAATAGATTATTTTTGCAGTAAAAAATGATTCTGTAAATCCATAGCTTAAGTAAATCAACTAACAATGGATTCCAGAGATTTTTAATGTATACAAAAATGATTTTTTCCCCTTAAATCGATCGAATCTAAACTGGAAAACCGGAAGAGGAGCATTAGTGAAAGAGTGCTTGAAAAGGCTTTCTGTTCAACGAGTTAAAATGGTACCGACCTCAAAATCACGTGAGATCTCAAATTTTGTTCTCCTTCTAGTTAGATTGATCAAGGCTCGACCTCAAAATCAAGTGAGATCTCAAATTTTGTTCTCCTTCTAGTTAGATTGATCAAAGATCTGAGCTACCTCAAAAAATTAGTGAAAAAGTATAAAAACATAGTTTCGAACACCACATAACGTTTTAAGCAACAGAAAATGCATGATTTTTTTTCTGGCTGACAGTTTAAAACAATTTTTGTTAATTTTATAGTAATTTTAGTTTCATCGACCAATGTTACACTGTTATTGACAGAGCGCAATTAGGGGGGTCCCTCTCAGGTATTCGATACCCTCTCTTCCCAAGGTTTCTCACTTTTCATTATGATTTTACAAAATCAATTTTCGGCCGACCGACTCTAACATTTTGCTACAGTATTCATATTGGTCTTAGTTATTGTAACACGAAGCTTACCTTCGGTAATCCTTGTGTCCTGCAAGTATGGGCGGCTATCAGTTGTGTTGATTCTAAGACGGTGGTTGTCCTCGGTTCTCATTGGCGAATAATTGCTGCCCAGAACTCTTTTTCGATTTCTATCATCTGCAGCGGATCCAGCACCGTGATGACGTCGCTGTCCTGCAGGTGTGGGCGGGAGCTGTACCTCAACAATTGGACTCCGACACCCCGCTCCTGCAGTCCCCGCCCCCTGAAGACCTTGGACGGAGGGACAATTGTGCTCCTCTTCGTCCCCTTCTTCCCCCTGCCCCTCCCAATCATCGTCATTTTCGCCTCTAATACCCTCCCCGGTCATATCTTCTCGGATCTCAAAATATCTACCGGGAGTTTCCCCTTCACGAATGGATCCGGGATTCAAAGCATTCCGCCTTTCCTTTTCAGTTTTTTTGAAAGTTTTGCCCGCATTGTTGTTTGGAAATGCCTTGAGCGGGTTTTGAATTAAGAGTCTCTCCTCGGGTAATGGCGTTGAAGACATTTTCTGTTAAGCTGATAACTGATACGAGTATATGAAAAAAATAATATTCGGCTGTCAGTTAAGATTTTATTTCGAGACTTCCCAAGAACAATCAAGAATAAGAGATTCAACAATTAAATACTTCAGTTTTATGTGGGCTCGACTCAGTTGATAGTCAAATAATATTAGTTCGGTTCACGGTGCTGTTTTTGTTTATTTGAGATGATATTTTTGCTTGTTTTGATTTTATTGCCACGAGCTGCTCGTTTTAAATCAAGCGCGTGCGAAGAGCAGTCGAAGGTGAGATTGGTGCTGTCGCTCAAGTGCGTTCCGATTGCACTCTAGTAGCTGAAAGCATCACCGAACTCGGCTTCTAAATTTCTCTCTCTTTCGTCTTTCTTCTTTTCTGTGTCTTCAAATATCTTCTCTTTCTTCTAACTTTTCTCAGCTTGCTTTCATATTGTCACAACTTGTCTTTCTTCAACTCTTTATTTTATGGCATCAATTAAGTCTAGAAGTGCTCAAATCCTTTCAAGATTTTTCAGTCCAATTGATCACGTTTATCGTTTAAATTCAGTCTTACCAATTTTTTTCACCATTCTACTGCTCGGAGCACGAATAAAACATGCGTTGTTGCTCTAATAGTGTACAGGTAATGTTGATTACAAATTGGTAATTAGTCTGTGTTAATTTTAGATTACTTGTGATGAGTCTCTTTTAGTGTGTGTTAAAATAGATGGTTATTACTTTTCACACCTAATTACATAATGGTTTCATTCGCCATGACTATGGCCGATGCCATAATTAAATACTGAGGCGACAACGCAAATGCCTTGCGGGATTCTCAAGTTGAGGGGAACCACCTTTGAGTAGATCGTCTCATCAGCAGAACTTATGTTACTTTTATGACAATGTAAACAAAAACAGAGGCGCTTCAGCTTCATTTTCTGCCTAACAAAAAGTTATAACATCAAAATTTTTTCTAAAATTATTTTTTTCCCAGAAAATAACTTTGTAAAATTTCCAAGTATGTTATAATTCTCTTTTTGCAAGCCGCCAAGCCAAAAAAAATTATTGAGGAAATTTGAATTGAAAATGTGCTTTTAGCATAAAAAGACTTTGAAAACCTTTTAAAACGTCTTGCAGAGTTTGAAAAGTTTCAAAGACTTTAGAAAAAATGCAAGTTTTTCTTGAAATATCAAGTTTTAAAATCGACGGAGTAACAAAAAATAACAAACGTGCCGACACTTGTGCTAATACATATTCAATTATATCAACGCCGGATAACTTATAACAACTTAGTAAGGCTTAAAATAGAAATTATGCAACCATTATCTCTACAATGGTACCAAGCGTTTTGATTGATATGCTCTAGAGTCTATAATTAAACTTGATGTTTTGATAGCGATTCTTACCAAACTCACACACGAATGGACAGCGACTTAGATTTAAGATTTGTTGAATAAAGAGTCTGAATTGTAGTCTGCGACTGACCATTGAACTTTTAATTTGCATTATTCCACGATGAGAGGAAAAATATCAATAACAAAAAACGAAGGTTAACAAGACTGCCTATATCAGGGATTCCCTTGCTCTTTGGTGCCGATAAAAATTTGTTGTTAAAAATACTTATTGATTTAAAATTTTTACAGTAGAGTTTTCATTTTCCTTTAATTTTAGCTGCATTTCATCCCCCAACACGTTGTGCAGAGTTTTATTTTCATTTTTCCTGCTTGTTATCCCCCCCCCCCCCACTTATTATATAAAATACCGAGTAATACATTTTGCGTCTGATAACGTTACTGTATCACCAGTGGCGTGCTCAGAAATTTTTTTAGGAGGGGGGCGGTTTTTCGGAAAATTTTGAAAACTTTGCCGGCTTTTTATTTTTTTAGGTCGCGCAATTTCATTTTCCGAGGTCTCCGGAAATACTATACGGACCCTATTTTGTCAAAAATTAAAAAAAAAAACGTTTTTAGGCACTTTTTGGAAAACTTTAAAATTTTGACCAAAAATTGCATTTTTTTGACACCCCCCTTCCCTCAAAATTATTCATGTTGGCGCCAAAGGCGCTTTTAGAAAATTTTTGAGGCTGGTTAGAAAATGTATGTCGTGAAACTATACCAAAGGGGGACCTTTTGGAAAAGTTTGGCAACCCACTTACATCATTGCATTAATCATTACAATCTTGCAGAATCCAATTAAATTTGCAAAATCCGCTCACATTTGCCGAATCCGGAACAAATAGTTATATTCGCGCGTTGCGGAATCCGCGACAAAACCATAAACCGATAAAATTTACAATGCGATTATTTGTGTTGGGTAACCACTGAAAAGTTGCTCGTTGAATCCAACTTACATCTTAGAACATGTTTAAAGACTTGTCTCTGGATTCCAGTGACCTAGAGACACCAAATGGTGCGCCTATTGGGGGCAAGGCTTGACGTCGTATTGACGGAAATGCCTATAAATAACTGAAATTCAGCCTCAGTTACCAGGATGTTCATTCTCAATATAGCCTGAACTTCAAGAAAAACTTTCAGAAAAAATTTTTACATTTTTATACACTTTATAAAAATCAGTTCTGTTAACAAGATAATTACCAATTTTCTCGCAAAAAGTTTTATCCCAGGATTGTAAACATTTTTGCATTGAAAGATCGTTTTTCAATTTTTTTTCACTTTTTTTTTATAAATTGCACGGGAATGATCCATAAATCGAATGTGTTATTTTTGTCGCAGAGACCCATGACTTGAAAGAAAATAAGACTTTATACGACCTAAAACACTCAAATATTTGAATACTAGAAAGATGTATAGGAAAAAAAGGAAAAAATTAACTTTTTTGTCGATGATTCGCTACATCAGTCAGAAACACAAGCTACGCTTTTTTAGCTGCATATCAAGAACTTAGAATATAAAAAAGCCAAACTCAAGGATGTTTTTACGCTTCCAATTTAATTAGATTTTTTTTTCCATTAGAAATACATGAGTGAAATTCACCTGCTACCATGCCATTTTGATTATCACTTATAAAAAAACACAATCAACCTTAGTTTTACTAAAAATTGCACCACCAAACTCGTTTTGGCGTTGAAACTCGCCAGTCGTAGTACCCTGTAATCGGCTTATTCAAATTCTTGATTTTAATCACCGTATGATTTTTGCTTTTATTAACTGTGACTAGAGTCTCCATAACAGCTATGGAATAGGATGGAGGCCTTTGGACTTTAAATATTTGAAATCAATAAGGCCGTACGTGTTTTAACTTTAAAAATCCAGCTGCAACTGAAATTTTTTAAGCAAACTAAAACTTTTAGCTGTTAAATTTTGTCGTCAAAGTGTATTTTATTTGTTTTGTAGTTTGGTATAAAAAATGTTTACAATTGGTTTTACGCAAAACTGAAACCTCAGTTCTTACAACATTAAAATTTATGAAGGATTAGCATTCTTTTTATGACTATCAAAGTTTGCCCTTGTTAAAATATTTCTTTCCGAATTTTCCTAATTTTGACATTAGGTACTTTATCAATCGATTATGACCTTTTGACCAACTTTCATTCCATATAAAAATGAAACCGGGGGGATTCTACATTGTGAAAGACATAGATGAAAGGGGAGCATTCGCCCCACTGGGTATCACAGACTACGCCATCATTGGGGACAAGGAGCCCTTTTTCGGAGGGTGGGGTTCGCCATACTCCGAAAGCCAACTCATGACATCAACTGTCAACGATTAGATTGAAAACTAATTTCGATGAAGATGAATTTGATCCCACTGACAGAAGAATTCTTGATGGAAGCTACTTGATAGAACTCTACCCGTTCTTCTAAGGGTCATCGCCTTCTGGAAACTTACCAGATTTGGGAGCAACATCAGAGATTATACTGAAATGCTCTATTAGGGTGTTGGTTTAGTATATACTTTAATTAGCCCGCTGTTACTGTTTTCATACCTTCAGTAAGACGTTTTACACGTTCAATACAAGCTGAAAACACTGAGTATTTTTAAATAAAAATCGTCCAATTTTCCATCCTTTAAACTGAGCACCAATCAAACGTTTCAAAATGAGACACTCAGATTGAGATTAAAGTTAAATGATATTTCTTCTTAATGCTAACCAAAAAAAGTACTTCTACCATTAATTTTTTTTGATTAAAAGCCCCATTCGTCTTTTACATCACAAACTTTATACAGTTTCAAAAACTGTTTGTAACTGCGGTTGATATGAAAAATCTAAACCGCTATGACTCTTCAACTTTGATAACGATTCGACTTTACTCAATACTTGGTTGAGAATATTACTTTGATTACTAAAAATTTTTGAAAATTTTTTTTTAAACTATACTGAAGTGAAGCATGAGAACTCATTAAACGAGCAAATAAGGAAGATATTTCCAGACAGCTGTCAAAATGAAAAAAGTGAAAAAAATTGATTTTTGTGTCTGAAAAATCTTGATTTTTCAATTTAAAAAAAAATAATTTAATCACCCAATCATTTCAACAAGACTTTAAGATACTAAGCAAATGCCCCAAAAAAATTTTTTGCCACATCTTTTTGAGAAACTTTAAAATTAGAGTGCTCTGTTAAATTTATCTCAAGTTTTAAGTTTATTATCTACAAGCTCCAAGAAGATCAGAGTTGGGTCAACGGATATTCCAGTTTATTGTAAGCATCAAAACACATCCCGTAGCGCGAAACTTGAAGATGTTTTGAATTAATCCACAGTTTAAATTTTTCAGAATCAATCAACCAAAAACGATGTTTGATTAAACGTTTTCGATGCAGAATAATCCTAAATTATACATTTATACCTACCTGATTTTTTCACCTAGATACCTACCTAAGAAAAACATTTTGATGCTTTATGCCCCAATCGATTTACTTGCTCATTTTTTCAATTGGGTTTTTAACGCTTTAAAGTCTAGACGCGTGTGATGAGAAAACGTTATTTGACCCCGTTTCTATCGTTTCAACGTCTGCAATCACCAAACATTGGGCTAAGTATTTGTTATTTGTT